ATTCAACGTCATTATATTTTCTTCCGACCCCGACCAAAAAAAAAAGAAACAAAAAAACAGACAAAAATATTTCCCCTTTCATCAATAACTACTAGCAACCATTTGTGGGCGAAGCTTACACATTATGTAGCAAAATTTTGCAACTTTTAAAGAAATAGCTTAATCTGGCTGTATATTGTGCTCTTGTTTTATTGTCTTGTTTAATAGGAGCTTCTTTTATTTTTACTGTTTTAAGAAAGACATTGTTGGCTTGGGTACCCCATTCTGGACTCCTTTGGGAAGAATAACACTAGTTGCAATAATTCAAATTTTAATAAGTATCCTTATTTATGCTATCTTACACAGAAGATAAGGGTATGATTTTTTGATTAAGTCAATTCTCACTTCTATAGCCTTTGGTATATTATGGGAGTTTCTATTGAGCCAGGTGCATTGAATCTGACCCCAAGTGATAAGTCAGATTTCTATCCCCCCTCATCAAGCAGAGATAGACTGCTTATGGGCCAGAGGCAAGTTCCCAGTCTGTTTTTGCACCCCCAAAATCACATTTGCTGAAATTCAGTGGTAAAACACCAAATAACAATAGCACATTTTATGTTTTTTTCTTTTTACAAAATAAGGAGGAAAAGGACAACATGATGCAACCAGTCCTCTCCCCTATGAGTAGGATCTGATCAGAAGAAGACCATTGGGTCAGGTAGACAGCAGGAGGAAGGAAAGGTGTGTTATACCACCTAGCAGCCTGCTCATTCATTTGCCTCCCTGCCCTGCTCTCTGAAAAAAACAGTGTTTACAAGTTCACTGATGGAATGCTGAAACAGTGGAGATTTTTTAAATCCATTCTACCAGTTTCCCTTCCTAGGTCAGGTGACAGAAATAATGGCAAAATGCTGATGTTTTCTTTTTCTTTTTTTTAGCCAGTCTACCAGTGGACCCATCAGATGGGAAGGGGTGGAGCATGATGGGAATCAATAAAAGGGGGCTCCTACAAAAGATCTCATCAGTCCTCAATAACCCAGCCACTGAAAGGAAAATAATCGGTGCTTGGTTCCCTGGTATGGGTGGGAGGGATAAAGAAGCACAGAAGTCATCCAACTGGGGACTATGGTAAGCCAAGTTTGGACAGAATACCATTGCCAAGGTGGAAAAGAGGCCTAAAATCCAGAAAGGACATTTTTAAGCTGGCTGCCTTTACAGCCACTTTATGCACAAGAGTCAGTCAGCTTATGGCTGCAGTAGAGAAAAACCCCAAGACTGGGAAGGCCCAGGTTTCAATCCACCTTCAGCTACAGAGACTCATTAGCTGACTTTCTATTAGCAGTCTCTCTCTTTCAGCTCAATCTACCCCATAGGGTTACTGTTGTGACGATAAAATAAAAGGGCATCCTCATGAAAGCTGCCTTGAACTCCTGCAGAAGAAGTGGGATATAAATCTGCTAAATAAATACATGCATGCATTTTAAAAAGAAAACAAAATAACAGGATAAGTTATTCTCTGTGATTGCAGATCCCGTAGGGCCCCTTGGTTAATAGCTGGGCTCAGGGAAATGAAACGACACAAGAGATGCCTAGAGTGCCACTGGAGGAAGACGAGGGATAAAGCTGACTGGGCACAGGTACAAGCCTGTATTAGGACTTACCTTGTGGCGGTAAGAGCAGCATAGCACGCTTACTTCTCTACTTTTATTGCATCTGCAGATGGCCGGCCAGCAGCCCTCTTTCGGGTGACCAGGGCCCTCCTGGGTAAGTGGGGGCCGGGTAAGCCCTTGCAGGGTCGCTACGAGGACTATCCTAGGGATCTGTCAGATACAGCCTTTACTTTGTTCAGAGTTCGACTCTGGCTGGGCAGATCCAGTGGATGTGACTAAGGCACATCCTAGCTCGGTTATCTGGGAAGAGTTTGAGCTGGTCAATCCGGGTCCTTACTGCTGTGAGCTCTGCCACCTATGCTCTGGACTCATGCCCTTCCTGGCTGGTTAAGGCCTCCCGGGAGGTAGCATGTGGTTGGGTCCAAGCAGTAGTAAATGCCTCCTTGTGGGAAGAGGTAGTTCCACCAGCTTTGAAAGAGGCGGTGGTTTGCCCCTCCTCAAAAGGCCATCCTTGGACCCTACGGTTTTGGATAACTTCCATTCAGTCTCCAACCTTCCCTTTTTAGGGAAGCTTTTTGAGAGGGTGGCGAGCTCCCAGCTACAGAGGGCCTTGAGTGAAACAGATTATCTGGGACAGGGTTTCTCGGAGAGGCAGAGGCAGAGGCAGAGGCAGAGGCAGAGGCAGAGGCAGAGGCAGAGGCAGAGGCAGAGGCAGAGGCAGAGGCAGAGGCAGAGGCAGAGGCAGAGGCAGAGGCAGAGGCAGAGGCAGAGGCAGAGGCAGAGGCAGAGGCAGAGGCAGAGGCAGAGGCAGAGGCAGAGGCAGAGGCAGAGGCAGAGGCAGAGGCAGAGGCAGAGGCAGAGGCAGAGGCAGAGGCAGAGGCAGAGGCAGAGGAAAAGGAAAAGGAAAAGGAAAAGGAAAAGGAAAAGGAAAAGGAAAAGGAAAAGGAAGACTTGCCAAGGTTGATCCTATGACCTTTCCCAACTCAGGAGTCAAGATTGAGATACATTTGATCAACTTTGTGTAAAAGTAGTATAAGGATATAAACTGTTTTGAGTGCACAGCCTGATCCCTAGATTTCTTAATATTTATTATTATTATCAGGTTGTTGAGACAGACATGATTCAGAACTATTTCATATAAGTCTGTTTCTAGGATGTATATTTGTTATGGTCGCTTGAAATCATAACGTATTGCACGATCTTGTTTTTTTAAATGGAAATAATTATTTTAGAAGTCATAAGGGATAACCCATCAACCATGTATCTGCATTATACAAGAGAGGCCAATGTTCATTTTTGGGCTGACTCCCTTCTGAACATTCATTAAATAAGGAACTGAGAATCAGTAACTAATGTTACTTTCTTAAATCACTTCTCAAGCACAAACTACATGTTTACCTTCAAGATCCTGCATCCCTCCACATCCACATGTTTTCTGATGCATGACACCTCCTCTCCCTCTATGGATGTTGTCATTTGGACTGTGAAGTTCTGTTTTCCACAATGCCTGCATGTTTTGTACTTCAGTACATATATTTCACAACTAAGCCTCTTTCATACCAACCTGGCTAGTACTTGGGCGGGAAGTAGAAAAACATTTCAGAATATGCCGTGGCAACCTTTGTCCATGCTGTTGCCAAGATCACTGGCAAACTTGATTTGTCCGTTTACGTCACCAGGAGTTTGACCTGAGGGCATCTTCATCTTAAGCCTAAGCACATGTAAACAAGTCATCTATATTCTCCGCTCCCTTACCAATTTTCCCTCTTCCCCCTTGAGGCACTGCAAGCAGAAATTCCCTTTTGCTTTACACTACAGCAAATACTGATGGCAGTACAGTATAAGTAGTCATGAGGACAGGATGCCTGTAAATTACTCTGCTAACATGAATTTCCTATTCATTTTTGTCAGTGTTACAAGCAGTGCAGATACAGTATGCATAAACGCCAGCTCAGAGGTTTAGTAGAGTTGGTTTCCACATACAGACTATAAGTTTGCAACACCATACAGGAAGTCGTTTGAAGGAATCAAGTAACTGACAGCTGGGAAGGGGAACCCCTGGCCCTACAAATATTGCCCAGCTTTAAGCCCCATCATCAGTCCAATGGGGAGGGATGCTGGGCACTGTAGTTCAGCAACCAGGGAAACGGTTTCCTTAAAAGGGATATACAGTATATATTGCGCAAAGGCTTGTCTTCCTTCATTTTTTTTTTTTTTTAAGAAGCAGGCCTACGTAAGCTTTTGGATGGAAGAACGGCATGGCCGTGACGGGTAGAAAAACAGCTCCGAGCGGACTTAGCAAAGCCAGCCTCGCGGAGGGGAGGGGAGG